TTTTGAAGCCCTCACATATGTATTGTTCTCCCATACTTTTTATTTTCCAATTTGAATAGAAAAAAAAGTTGAAATAGCCTTTTAACCTAGTCGCTGAAAGAGCCACCAAAGATCATTATCGAGCATAACTAGAAAACGTACCCTTATCTTCAAATGACACAGCTAATAGTGCCAGTCATTGGGGAGAGAAGTAAGTAAAGAATGATTTTTTATTTTCCTCCCCAAGCTTTTGAAGTATTTGCCTAATAGAACAGAATTTTTTAAATGATATTTTTCTTTGAAATATTTTAAAATGTTATCAAAGTCAGATTTTCTGGGTCTTCTCAAAGTATAAGCAAATAGCTTCGATAAGCATTATAATCCCCACATACAGCACTGAAGATTTTTCTCTCAGCAAAAGCATTGCTTTGAGAAATGTTCCAAATTCCCAAGTTTCTTTTTGTTTCATGAGGTTCTGGAAGCAGAATGGGGACTTTTTTGTTTGTCTGTTTTTAATTTGTCTTCTTTTTCTTTTTGTACTAGATTTTAGTTTGTCTTTTAAAGAAGGGAAGGAGAAAGTGGCAAAATAGCAATCCCGTATTAGGCACTGGCCAGCATTACTACAAGGATCCCATGCCAATGATTGTGCTTTGGCTGGTCAACAGAAGCTAGCTACTGCCCAGAAATGATCCTAAAGCTGGCTTATTTAAGAGGTTCAAATATTTGACAGCTGCACTTACGCTATTATGCACACACACACACACACACACACACACACACACACACATACCCCTCTAACCAAGATCCCTACCCTCCAGAGTGGGAGCTGATCCAAACTCAAGGTTATGAGTTTGTTGTTATTGTTGTTAGAGGCTTTCCATAATAACACTGTTGTTGTTGTTTGAGGTTTTCAAGCTGATGCCAACTTACAGCAGCTCGTGTATCATAAAACTAAACAGTCCCTGGTTCTGTGCCATCTGTACAGTTGTCACAGAGCACAATGTTGCAGCCATCGGGACCGCCAATGCCCTGAGGGTCTTCCTATTTTTCACGGGCCTTCTACTTTACCCAGCATGATGTCCTTTTACAGAACCTAGTCCCTCTGATAACATGCCCAAAGTACACGAGACAAAGTGTTACCATCCTCACCTCTAAGGTGCATTCTGACTGCACCCCTTTCAATACAGACGTGCTTATTCTTCAAGAAGTCAATGGTATATTCAATATTCTTCAGCAACACTATTCATTTCATATAAAATGTTCCGGTTTGACATGGTGATATTATTTTAGTATTGCCTGAAGAAGTTCTGTTGTGATAGTGGATTACACAGTGGGCTGCTAACCACAGCCCCCAAAACCCACAGAAGCGTCTGTGCTCTGTCGTATACGGTCACTATGAGTTGGAACCAACCCGATGGCAGTAAGTTTGAAGAGATCATCACTTTTAAAAAATCTATTATCGCACTCGATGCGATGTGATCTTCCATTATTTTGCTTATACTGGCTGTGGGAGTGGGGAATCAGTCTGAATTTGATACAAGATGGTATCTAATTCTTTAAATGCTCCACAATCTGTACCTAGAGCTAATAAAATCCAGATTGTAGCTATAGTTACAAGAAAAGAATTTTAGAATTCTCTAAAATCTATCAGTATCGAAATAGAGATGTGATAAATCAGCAGATCCCTTATGATTTCCAATTTTTATGATTCTTATTGAATGGTTTACATATGAAGTTCTATGTAAAGGATTTCCTTTCAAATAATCCAGGGGAATGAGGATATGAAGATCTTACTGCCTCAGGGCAATTCTGACCCTATCGGGCAAGGCGGAGGCCCTGTGAGTTAGTCGCCCACCCTGTAACTCTTCTCAGAGTAGATACAACAATTGATGACATAAAATTGTTCACAATGTTATCAATGACATCACGTGATGGGTAAGTGGAAACTTAGTCTAGTATTCTATCCTTGTATTAGCAAGGCATTTTTCAAACAAACAAGGCACAGACACTGAGGGATACAAAAACAAAGCACCCTCAAGACACAAGAGGGCACTTTCACGAATTTCCCTCCAAGAGGGCCATTTCAGAGGCTCAACACAAGCCTGAAATCATGAGCGAGATCTTCCAGATGTTTTCAAGAACATACCATATTTGATCTGGACTGGTCTTAATGCGTTTCA